ACTGGTCGACAGGAGGTCAATCTCAGGATATTGTACTTTCTTAGGCAGTAACCTTGTGACATGGAGGAGTAAAAAGTAAAACGTGGTGGCAAGATCTAGTGCGGAGTCGAAGTTCAGGTCAATGGCGTTGGGAATATGCAAACTACTATGGTTAAAAATCATTCGTGATGATCTGAAGATAATATAGGAAGGCCCAATGAGGTTGTACTGTGACAACAAATCGACAATCAACATTGCACATAACCCCGTGCAACATGATCGGACTAAACACATTGATGTTGATAGACATTTCATTAAAGAGAAACTCGACAGCGGCCTAATCTGCACTCCATTTGTTTCAACAAAAGATCAACTAGCAGATGTTCTCACAAAAGGGATACCAAACACTGTGTTCCGAGACATTGTTAGCAAGCTGGGAATAGAAGATATCCATTCACCAATTTGAGGGGGAATGTCGAATAATGAGGTTTTATTAGGAAAGTTATGTGATTTGGTGTAATTCCAGATTTTTTGGTTCTTTTGGTGAGCTGTATATATCAGTTAGGAAATTATCTAATTTGTAGAGATTTAGAAGACGTTTAGTTCATGGATTAAAATCATGAGATTAGAACCATTTTCGATTTACATGTATTTTTTATGAGAGAAAACACTGTAGCGAACCATGAATCATGATTCGAATCAGGATACGAATCCCCTTACCAAACGTCCGCTTAGTTACTGATTTTTGGCTATTCAGCCATGTATAAATCCCTTTGTATGTACAGCTTTTGTATAATGAAAAAATATAATTCCTCAAAAAGTCACGATTTGTGACAGTACCATTAAGATTAGTCCTCAAATAACTCTTAGATTAGTTCTCCATGTGCCGAATTTATCATGCAATCTTCTCTCCATTAGTAAGATTACTAAGGATCTTGATTGTGTAGTGAATTTCTCACCATCAATCTGTGTGTTTCGAGACCAGAGTTCGGGGAGGACGATTGGCAGTGCTAAGGAATTCAAAGGACTATATTACTTTCAGAAGGACGTCTCTGTGATTGGACAAGTTCAAACTGCAGTTTGCAGCATTTCCCTTTCAAGAAAGCAAGAAATTATGTTGTGGCATTGTAGGCTAGGACACCCAAGTTTCGAGTATCTAAAATATTTGTTTCCTTCGTTGTTTCATAATGTTAATTCATTATTTCAATGTGAAGTTTGTCAGTTAGCAAAACATAAACGTGTTTTTCTTCCCTCCCAGCCATGTAGGGCGTCAAAACCCTTTGCACTAATTAATAGTGACGTTTGGGGTCCATCTCGTGTTCGAAGTCTTACTAATAAAAGATGGTTTATTACGTTCATTGATGATCACACTCGTGTTTGTTGGGTCTATCTTTTAAAAGACAAATCTCAAACGGAACAAGTTTTCAAAAATTTCCATTCTATGGTTAAAACTCAATATAATACAAATATACAAATTTTTCATACTGACAATGGAAAGAAATACTTCAATTCCATCCTTGGAGATTTTCTTATAGAAAATGGCATTGTTCATCAAAGTTCTTGTGTCAGCACACAACAAAATGGAGTCTCTGAAAGAAAAAATCGCCATCTCTTAGAAGTAGCTCGGTCACTGTTGTTCACATCCAATGCTCCTATCCAATGCTCCTAAGTATTTTTGCAAGGACGCCGTTCTCACCACGTGTTACCTGATAAATCGCATGCCCTCTCGAGTCTTACAGTACAAAACTCCTTTAAACAGTCTTTCTTAGTTTTATCTAGAGATAAGGTCGTTTTCTACATTAGACTTGAAAGTATTTGGTTGTACGGCTTTTCTTCATGTTTATGATCCAAATCTTAGTAAACTTGACCCACAAGCCCATAAATGTGTTTTCTTAGGATATTCGGCCACTCAAAAAGGGTACCTATGTTACTCTCTTGCCCCACGAGCCCATAAATGTGTTTTCTTAGGATATTCGGCCACTCAAAAAGGGTACCTATGTTACTCTCTTGCAAAAAGAAAATACTTTACATCTCTTGCATGAGTGAAGAAATTTTTTGGGAAACACCTACTCATTCAAACAAAAATCAAAATTTGGGCCAAAATTTGAATGATCTCTGGGAATATTTTTGGGAAGCATCTCCGCCTAACGCATCCCTAGAATCTCCACCAAATCCGCCCAACTCAGCACCAGAATCTCCACCATCTCCAGCCCTAGAATCTCTACCAAATATGCCCAACTCAGCACCAGATTCTCCACCAAATCTGGAAAAATCCGCAGCCTATGCTCCACCACATTCGCCCAAATTTGCTGCACTTGAAACCCCACAGAATCTGCCTAAATCTCCACCAACAACCGAATTTGAATTACCCACAAATCTGCATGGTCCTCAAAATCTTCCAACCTCAAGGTCTGCCAAGAATCTCTCCCACTCTTCTGTTGAGTCTGGTCAAGCCAAAAAGAATTCAACACGTGGATTAAATCTGCCAAGTCCTATTCCTATTCCACAAAATTAGCATTCAAGTCCATCAAGTCCTCCTGCTAAAAAAAATTTGCCGTGTCAAAATATTCAAAGAGGTATGCCCGAAAATCCAATTTTGCCGAAAAAACTTCCGATCTTTCCGAGTCAGGTCAATCCGAACCTATTATGCCCACAGAAGCAGCAATAAAGACGACAAGGGGAGATTTGCAAACTCAACCAAAACTTCGTGTCTACTAACAGAGAAGAAACTCAACAAAAGGAATAGCTCCTGAAGACACCAAGCATGGTCAAGAGACCAAACCGAATTTAGGTACACACACTGAACACAATCTTGATTTAAGTGACGTTGATATCCCTGTTGCTGTAAGGAAATGAGTGAGATCCTGTACGAAACACCCCATATTTGATTTTCTATCATATGGTCACTTGTCTAGTTTTGTTAGAGCCTTGGTTACTAACATCTCAGATGTGGAAATTCCAAAAAATATTCAAGAAGCATTGAAGGATTTCAGGTGGAAAGAGGCAGTTACGGAAGAACTACAAGCACTGGAAAAGAATGAAACTTGGGAAGTTGTAGATGCACCATGAGAGAAGATACCAGTGGGATGCAAGTGGGTTTTCACTATCAAATACAAAGCTGATGGATCCATTGAGAAATACAAGGCGAGGCTCGTAGCAAAAGGATACACTCAGACCTACGGGGTGGATTATCAAGAAACTTTTGCTCCTGTCGCCAAGATAAACACTGTTCGAGTTCTATTGTCTTTGGTTGCCAATTTGGATTGGCCCCTTCATCAATTAGAAGTGAAGAACGCCCTCTTAAATGGAGATTTAGAAGAAGTGTACATGGATTTACCTCCAGGTTTTGATGGAGAAAGAAAGAATGAGAAAGTTTGCAGACTTAAGAAGTCTCTCTATGAATTAAAACAATCACCGAGGGCATGGTTCGAACAGTTCACCAAAGTCATTCGTCAAGAAGATTACAAGCAAGATCAAATTGACCATACACTCTTTTACAGGCATAAGAGTGGAAAGGTTACAATTCTCATCGTGTACGTTGATGATATAATTCTAACAAGAGATGACAAGGATGAGATGGAATGAGTAAAGAAGAAGCTGGCTTCAAAATTCGAAATGAAAGATTTGGGAAGCTTGAGGTATTTTCTTGGGATGGAAGTTGCAAGAAGTTGGTGCGGTATTTCAGTCTTAAAAAGGAAATACACGTTGGACCTTCTAAAAGAAATGGGAATGATGAGGTGTAAACCTGTGGATACTCCTATGGATCTGAACCTGAAGCTTGGAGAGCAACAAACCGACAATCTAGTTGATAGAGGTAGGTACCAACGTCTAGTTGGAAAGCTGACTTATTTATCACATACGAGACCCGACATAGCGTTTGCAGTTAGTTGCGTGAGTCAGTTTATGCATTCACCGTGTGAGGAACACATGGAGGCTGTGTATCGGATTTTGAAGTATCTGAAAGGTACACCGGGAAGAGGACTTTTCTTTAAGAAGTCCAAAGAAAGAGGCGTAGAAGCATTTACTGATGCTGATTGGGGTTCAATAAGTGATAGAAGGTCAACTTCCAGATATTGCTCATTTGTCCAGGAAAACTTGGTTACTTGGAAAAGCAAAAAACAAACAGTAGTAGCAAGAAGTAGTGTTGAAGCTGAATTTAGAGCACAAGCCCACGGTATATGTGAATTATTTTGGCTTAAACTGTTGTTGGAAGAACTACAAATAGCTAGGAGCCTAGGAATTTACCCATGAAGATTTACTGTGATAATAAGCAACCATTAATATTTCTCATAATCCAATGCATCATAATACAACCAAGCACGTCAAAGTTGACAAACACTTTATCAAAGAAAAAATTGAGGAAGGAGTCATTTGCAAGATTTACGTGCCCACATCGGATCAAGCCGCTGATTTGCTGACAAAAGGACTTGCCAAACCGATGTTCGATAAGCAAGTAGACAAGCTGGGAATGTTCAACCTATTTAGCCCAGCTTGAGGGGGAGTGTTGGAAGTTGTTTAGATTTTAATTTTTAAATTTAAATTAGTTCTAATCAGTTTTGTTATCTTAGATTTTCTAGGTAGGTAGTTCCTAAAATAAAGGATGCTGATTTACTCATAATTTATATATATAGATGTAATCGTTATTTTTAAGTAAGGGAATAAAAGATATATGAAGTGTTTTCTGTTTGTTTCCTTCCTTATGTTAGCATTTAGTAGCATATATAATTCGGATTGGCAGATTATGCGGATTGAGAAACGCTTAATATGCAATCAAATCCATTATTGTGGATTGAAAAAATCTCAATCCGTTACCAATCCAAATTTTTTTTCAATCCAATTCAAACCAGTAGACATAACTTTTTAATTGATTAGACACCTACTAATAAAAGACTGACAACTTATATGCCATTGGTATAAAAAAAATCGGGATAAGAGTTGGGACCCTATTATTATTCTTCATCCTAATTGGAATAGAGAACAATGACAAATTCATTGAAGCATACGAGTTTTAGTATGATTACCATGTTTTCAATATCAGAAAAATAAGGAATATCATCACCGGCACCATCTAATTCTTCCTCAGACTCATCCTGATATAGTTTTGAAGGGTTTGCTTCGGGCTCCAAAACATCTCTATTAGTCGAACCCAGCCCTTTAGATAAGAGTGTGCGTTCTCCACTAATTGTAACTGGAGCACTAAGTCCCTGTTTGCAGCAAGCAATTTTAGTGATTCACAAACGCAGCAGCTGCCAACTTAGTAGAAAAATAAATAGGTCAGTTATATAAAGTATCTCCCATCTTACATTCATAATCTCTTCTTTCAGCACTTGATTTGCAGCAAAGGCAGGAGTTGTATTCTTTGATCTGCATTGGTTTGCATCTGCAAGAATATTGTTAGCCAGTTTGGAGACTGAAGTTACACGGGTACCGTCAAAAGGATTGGGTTTAACAAGTGGGATGTTTGCACAGCGTTTTGGAACTGTTTTGTGTCCTACCATCAGGGAGCCCATAGAAGGCTCTGCACGACATTGTTTGTTCTTCAATCTTATACTTTCTTGTCTAATCTTTTCTTGATTTGTGAAGGTTGGAACCAGATCACCGTGCTGTATCACGTCGTCATTGCACGGGATTTCAGGGTCCTCACTATTCAATGTGCACACCATCATTTCGTAATGAAGTTCAGGAGAATGAGGACTTGGTACTAACCTAATTGATGGAATATTGGTTTCGGAACCACAAATGCTATGCTGATGATTGCTCTCACCAGAGTGAAGCAGGTCAGAAGAGATTTTCCTCTCTGCATTAAAGACATCTTCAGAGACAACAGGGAATGCTTTTGGATCTAGATTTTCTGGTTGACAGACACTCTTTACATCCTTTTCAAGCCCATCTTTGGGAGAAGTCAACAGAACTGACTTATAATGGTTGAAATTCATGTTCTCTCCGTCTACATCCATGGCAAGAGGTTCATTCTCATTTGCAAAGTTCAAGAGCGAATCTGAAATATCACCAAAATCATCTCCTGAGATGGCAACCGTCCTGTTTAGTTCCTCACCAGGAAGTCTCTCTTCCAACATGAAACCTGCGCGGTCAACATTATATCCGGGAGAAGGCCTTTTATCGCCCTCATCACATATCAATTTATGTTCAGCTTCCTGACAATTAACCTCGAGGCTGACATCAATCGGCATCTCTGGTACCATGACGTCTTCCATTGTCTTCCAAAGAGGCACATCTGGTAGCACATGAGATGTCCCCGCCTCCACCGCACTTGAGCAATTCCTAAAATCAACCAAACCATCCCCTGATCTAACTAAATTTTTCTCGCCATCAATATTATGCTTGTTATTATCTTTTACTGATCCATTAGTCGACAAACACAGATCCTTTTGACGATTATCTAAAAGCGAAGAATTATTAGCTGTAAATTCAAAATAGTTTTTGACACGATGTCCAACCACATAACTTCCATCCAAAAGATCATTTCCACTATTCACATTCTCATCAGTATCATTAGGTTCGTCAATGAAACCAAAATCGAAAGTGTTGAAAGAGCACAATCTCTTACGCATCTCGTAATACTGCTTCCGAACGCTTTCGACTCGTCGTTTCGCGGGAGAACCAGCTCCGACGCTTCCTCCTCCTTTGGAAACTCCAAATCTACCAGGCTTCGTGGAAACAGTAGGATTAGAGAGCTCAAACTCGGACATGCGCGCAGAAGCTTGAGCCGAAACCTCAGCGTCGTAGAGGAGAGAAAGCCATCGCTCACGCAACTCTCGGACGGTGAATTTTCGGGAGAATCGTACCGCGCCTTTGGCAAGCGCTTCAAGCGAAGCACCTGCCTGAGAAAATTCCAAAAACGAAATTATGGATCAGAATCACTCGAATTTCTAACTTCGCTGACTTTGGATTCCGATCCCGAGAGAGCATCGCTCGGAACAGGAAGATTGTAGCGAAATTGAGCTGTGGAAAAAGTAAATGCGAGAATTCAAGAAAACAGGGTTACCTCAACGGCGTTCTTGAGGAGAAGGTCGTCCTCGGGGTTCCATGGAGGCGCCGAAGCAATTGCCGCCATGGAAATGGAAGTCGAAGCTAATTTGTACTCTGAATTTGGGAATTCAAATACTTCTCTTCTTTGTACAATTTACTTGACTTGAGAATTTTATGGGCGAAGATCCGCCGTGAGAACCACCGACTTATGGGTCATGACTCTGACTCATTCGGGAAATTGGAATCCGTTTAGATCACTTATCCGAATTTTTAATTTGAATTGAAATGTAATTTTATATGAAAATTTTTTACTGTACTAAAAATATTATATATGATTGTTTCTGAGAGTTTTTTATTGTAACAAAACTCGAATCGATGAAATAAACGAGGCCTGGGTTTTCAAACACGCGGGTAAAGTGATCTGGACTCGTTACGGGTCCATTTAGTTCGCTAATTCGAGTTAAAATGTAATTTTATATAAAAAATTTTTATTATAATAAAAAAATTAAATGTAATTATTTCTAAAATTTTTTTTACTGTAATAAAACTTAAATTTTAAACTTAAATCTATAAAATAAATAAGACCTACGTCTTTTTGCGTTTTCTTTATGATGCCATTTTTCTTCTTCATTTTTTATTTTATTTTTCCCCTTTTTGCCTAATGGTATTATCTTCACGAGTTTGATAGGTCTTTCTTTCTTTGAAAAAGATTTTGATGGTGATTAGTTGATTATTAGTGGTGCATCTCCTATTAAAATGCATTTTGGATGGCTTCCTCCAAAAAAAAAAAAAAAAAAGAAAAAAGAAAAAAAGATGGCGACTTCAATTTTATTTTAATTTTTGAAGGAGGCGATGAAAAATTTTTAGTTTGTGGGAGAAGACTCTTGAATTAAATTTATTTTTAGGATGCTGAAAATATTTTATTTTTTAATACATTTTTGGGATATTTTTAGTTTGTAGAAGTGGGGTGCTTTTCGTTTGAGCTGTTATCTCCAACATGTTCAACGGATGGTGACCGTATTCCTTTGGCGTTTTATTTCATGCGATAATGGGTTTCTCTTGATGGTGGTGTTTTTGATTGCTGACGGTGGCTGCGGAGGGTTAGTTTCACTTGCAGTTTTATGTCGTTTGCTCGACCTCGCCATATCTCTTTCAAAGTCCTCTGCCTTTCCGTGGTGCTATCATCGATTGCCTCTTCGCCAAAGTCGCTTGACAACGGGTCTTAGGGTCTTTTTGTGTTTATTATGTTTTTGTTTTTGGTGTATTTTTACTACAATAATCGTGGTTCTCACCCCGTTGTCTTTATTTGTTTTTTGTGTCCGTTGTATTGGTGTCTTGGTGGTGTTTGGTGTAGCCTTAGTGCTACGATGTTTTGTTCCTCTATCACTTAAAAACTTATCTTGCTAAGAGGAATTTTATGAAATAGAGTCATAGGTGTGTTCAATTTTAGGCCTTGTCCATTTCACCGATTCGAGTTTTCAGTTTTAGGTTTCTACAGTAAAAAGTTATCAGAAAATGTCATATCTAACTTTTTCTGCTACAGTGAAAAGCTCTCAGAAAATATCACATCTCAGTTCGAATTGAAAACTCGAATCCCCGAAATGAATGAGGCTTTAGTGTGTCGAAGTATTCTTCTATTTTTGGTCCTCATGTGTAATCCGTTCTCCTGCTAAGTTATTAGCTTTCTCTTATATTTGTTACTTTGGTTTTGTTTAAATGCAAGTTCCTAATATATGAGTTTTTATTTAAAAAGAAAAGTTGTCCTTCATTCATGAATAAGATATTCCTTCGTCATGCAAGATACCGTTTTTTCTTCTTTTAACAATTATTAAAACAAAAAAGTACGAAATACCATATTTTAGAGCATGAGGCTTATAATCTCTTTCGAAAGGTGGTAAGTAATGGCTTGGCAGTGCTGTAGATTTTAAAAAAATTACTTTTAGTTGTGCTAAAAGAAGAAATAATTGTTATAAAAAGTAGCTGAGTGCTTGATAAACTATAATTATAGTAGCTGTGCTGATTCTAAAATTAACATAATAGCGTTTAGTAAATTATGAGATTAAATTGCTGTGAATAGTTATAAATTACGACTATTATATTATACAATAATATAATACATATAATTACAATATAATATATATTTATTATTATATTTAATATAATACAAAAAACTATTATTGTATAATATATATTATATTTAATATAATACAATAAAACTATTATTAAATAACTTATTATATAATTATGATATAGAATATAATAATATTATTAAAATGGTTAATATAATTACAATATTATAATATTACATAATAAATATTAATATTTCAATTATAATAAAATTAAAAATTACAACTATATTATATTATATTATATAATTATTATTATATTATATTAAACAAATATATTATAATTAATATATTATATAACCATAATGTTGTGTAATACACTATAATAAATAATAATATTAGAATTATAAGATTATATTAATATTTAATTATTATTATAATAAATATAATTATATCAATACAATATAATATATAATATATTATAAAATAATAATTACAATATCATATTATAATTATATTATAATTATAGTATCATATTTTTAAAATAATTATAATATTATTATAATATCATATTATATGATAAAATAATAATATTATAGTTATTAATATAATTATGATATTATTTGTTATAATATTATTATTATTATATTATATTATATTATATTACGAGGCTCAATTTTAAATTAAGAAGATTGTAAATTTTAAATTTTATTAAGGGTGTTATAGGTATTATGAAAATTTTATTAATTATACTATATTAATTCTCACACAATCTAAAAATTAAAGTTGTTTTTAAGCTGTTTTTATTTTAACTGTAGATTCTTAAAAAGTTTTTCAAAAATAATTTTAAAAATATTTATCAAACATTAAAATTAATTTCTGCTATAAGGAGAAGTTGATTTTAGAATGGAAAAGTAAAATACCAAACTAAACCAATAACGTATTGGCTAAAACAAATTAAGATAATACCTGAAATCTTTTAACACTCTCATCTCTTTCTCTTCCCAATCTCTTTCTCCCTCCTCCAGAGATCTCTCTCTCTTAGCGGCATCACGAGCTTCGATCTTTGACTAGAGACGATCTTCGTCGCGCTTTTAGACGGTATCTCCGTCACGGGAGCAGACGGTCCTCACGGTGAATAAGAAGTCGGACGATGATGAAAACAGGTCGGAGTTTGCAAAATAATCACGATGACAACAAGAAGGAGAAATCACGAGGAAATGGTCAACAGTTTTAGCACAGGATCTCACGGCGGAGATGCCAATCTTCTTTTACTACGGGGACACGCCAACTTTTACGATGTCAACAACGGTAGGGATGTCTTTCCATCATGTGAAGGTCCTCTATCGCAGAATGACACTATTTCTTAATTGTCTGGACATATCCTTTTTCTGATTCCAATGGGTGGGACGATGTTGTTAGGGGTGGCGACACATGAAGTTCAATAGTGGCGCAATGGCAGGAGGTGGTGACTCATGTACCGACAGAGGAGCGTGGCAGCAGTCAGTTTTGCATTTAAGCTCTATTTTGTTAGTAAATCTGTAGATTTACTCGGATTTACTAATTTACTAGTAAAGCTATTTTTTCGATGTATTTTCAGCTCTGATATGGTTTAGATTTACAGCAATCCGTGTATTTACCGCTTAGTGATGGCTGCGCCAGTGCCAACAATGGTGGATATGAGCAGAGAGAGGTGGAGGGAAGAAAGAGTTGAAAGTATTTTTGGTTTTGAATAGTGTTGGAAACTTAGGGCTTATTTTTTTGCCGTTTTTGAGTTAGGTGACTTGAGTGTAGATTTTGAGTTGAGTTTGAGTTTTAATTTGAGTTGAAGTTGTAACTTAAGTTTATGTTTAGTTGTGTACGTTTGAGTTATGGTTTGAGATAAGAATCTTTTTGAGTTTGTGTTTGAGTGAGTCAAAACTTGAATTTGTATTTATATAGTATTTTAATAAAAACTCAATGTTGATGGAAAATTTTAATAGGATATATGGGTGAGGTTTTATTCATCTTTTCGTTGTCAACGCATAGAAAAAAAATCATCTCAATCAGAATTAAAACGAAAAAGTTATAGCATTTTTAAGAATAGAAAAAATATTGTTCATTAATTTGAGTTCAAGTTTCTGAACTCGAGTTGAAGGAGAAACTTGAACTCGAGTTTTAGTCCCAAACTCAAGTTCAAACTCGAGTTCAAACTTAAAAAAATATGAACTTGAATAAAGTTGTAACTCGAGTTGCTTTTTTTGAGTTTTTAACTCAAAACCTCAACTGCCGAACAGCCCCTTAATTTATTAAATTATGCTACTTATTACCTTTTTTAAAAGAGACAAACACTTGAGTATATGAGTTTGAATTTTTACTCTTTATTCTTAATTAAATTTTTTTAATTAAATAACAAAATTAGTCAAAAAAGTATTAATTAAAAGTAATGAGTAAAAATCTAAATTCATATACGAAAGGATAAGTTTAGCAATTTTCTCTTTCTAAAAAAATATTATGCTCTTATATTCTAATCCTCATCTAAAATATGTAATTTCCCCATTAAAGAAATACCATTCCACAATGATTGAATAGTGAAATACCACACCTTTTTAATTCTTTCAAAGTCTCTACTTTCAGCACGTAAAGCACCAAGACTACCCCTTAAAACATATCCTAACTTTCTCCTCCTCTTTTCTAGGAGTAGTCAGGGATCGAATTATATGGATTATAGTTAATCCCTAATTCAATCAATTATTGTGGATTGAAAAAATCTAAATTCATTACCAATTTATAGACTCTCAATCCAATCTAATCCATAACATTTTCTGCTGATTGGATTAAAAGCATTTGTAAATTACCCTACGTTTTAGACCTTAACTCTTGTTGTCCATCTTTTCTTTTCAATATTCTCATAAAATTAAACACAAAAATAACATAACATAAAATTAAAATAGTTCTAAAAAAATAATTCAGCATTAATTTCAACATAAAGCATTAGACATTAATTTGGCTTGGGCTTTGTGTTACTCTGCCGTAGAAGACAATATTGGGATTCCATGCGTATATACATAAATTATATGTGTTATATAATTAAAAAAAATCAGCTACATATGTTATTTAAAAATATATAGAAAATATATACAATATATGTAGTTCAGATTGACTTATTATGTGGATTGAGAAATGCTCAATCGGTAATCTAATCATCTATTATGGATTGAAAAAATTTCAATATGTTACAATTGAAAATTCTTTCAATCTAATCTAATCCGATAGATTGGATTATGCAGATTAATTAGATTGGTCGGCCCTTTTTTTCCTTATCATCTTTCTCTCTCCCAACTCCGCCTATGCGTTTGTACAGCCGGTCCCAAGCCCGGGTAAAGAAGGAGGGTTGCGGTAGGTTGACGGCCAGCATAAAAATAAGTCACTCTCATAGATTTCACTCACATAGAATATGTTGGGGCGTTCCCTAGGTGCGACACGCTATGCCGGCCCCCAGGTATAGTGTTAAATAGGCAAGGGTGTCTTCGCACATTCATGGACGGGTGCAGGAGAAAAAGCGAGCCCATGCGCCATGTCGGGCCCCGGATATGGTGAAAAATATGCAAGGGGGTCCTTGCACATTCATGGACGTGTGCAAGGGGCAGAGCTAGCCCATGATAGGAAAATTCGTTTAGGTAGTTGGAATGTAGGTTCTTTAACTGGTAAATCTATGGAGTTAGTAGACGTTATGGTAAGAAGAATAATTAACATTTTATGCTTACAGGAAACGAAGTGGACAGGAGAGAAAGCAAAGGAGATTGGAAATTTAGGATACAAGTTATGGTATACAGGTTGAGAAAGGAATCGCAATAGAGTTGGTATTCTAGTGGACAAAACTGTGAAGGATGACATAGTTGAGATTAAGCGAATAGTGGATAGAATTATTATGCTCAAATTGGTACTAGAAAATAAGTCCATCTATGTAATTAGTGCTTACGCTCCACAAATAGGATTGGATACGGAAACTAAAGTCAAGTTTTGGGAAGACATGGATGACTTAGTGTGTCGTATAGGCAATGAGGATAGCATTTTCATTGGAGGAGATTTCAATGGCCATGTTGTTGGGAATGGTATCCTAGAAGCATGAAATGTAATAGGATATTTATTATTTATTTAATAAAAGAATTTATTCATCATTTTATGTGCATATATTTATGAATATTTTATGAATATCAAATGAAAATTCTGTGATTATTTATGTAACATTAAACATTGTATATAAGTGTTGTATATGAGAGGATAATGTTTAAGGATAATAATCAAAAGGTGATGTTCGTAATAAATCTAATTAAAGTTCAGAATCTTTAATTAGAACATTACTAATACATGTCATTCCCATTTAGAATAGAACGGTGTTATCCGCACTGTTAATATGGTGTGATATTGAATGAGTGTATTACGCATAATGAGATTATGTGGAACAGGGACAAAGACACAATATGAATTTCTAATAATTTCCGTTAAGTATAGAAATTCTAATTGAGTCTACCGATGGTCATATATAG